TGTACTTTTTTTTTTAATTTTGCTGCGTTCAAACGACTACTTGATATGCATACTTTTGGTTTCCGACTTGTGAAATGTTTTAATTGTGAGAGCATATGTCGTTTGAAATAGTGTACAGTTTCCTGATTTTTTTTTTTTACTTTTCATGTGCCACCACACTGTAACCAATTGGTTGTTCTGGGGCATGATACAAATAAAGGATTATTATTATTATTATAGCCCTGTTTTTAATTTGATGACAAATCGGCTAAACATGTTGGTTGGGGATGTCTGCGCGCCCGCTACATCACTGTTGTGCCGATGCTACACAGCACATATGCAAGCATGGTGTTCAAGAATAACGCAGGTATGCACGTGCATGCGTGCCCTGTCGCTTTGTACTCTATTAATATTACCGTGTTCAGGGGTGGAAGCGGGCTAGAGCCTTTTGTATCAGGGCTGGGAGCAGCAAAAGTCCCACTTTGGAGCAGTTTTGGAGCAGTAAAACGGTCGCTTTAGAGCAGCTCGGGAGCAGCAAAAATAAGTTTTGTAGCCGTCGAAGTAGGTTTTGCAGCAGGTCACGGAGGTCAAACAAATGTCTAAAAGTGATTTGTTGTTTCTAAATGTGAAAATGTAGCAAAAATATATGCATGCACATCCCAGAATAATTTTCAAGCAAGACACATACATACCTTTCTATTTCTATTGCATTGAAATATGGAATATTGGCAATTTATGCAAAGGAAAGGCTTTGAGAACCATTCCGGCAGCAGGCAGAGTCATGATAGACTTTATATGGGAGGCCCCGACAATAAAAGCCTAGCTTGAGCCACGCCAGTACAAAACCGTCTACTTAATAGACCAATTGTAAACATGTATCCAGAAAACTAAACAATTGCAAGGTGTCAGATAAACTACCTTCGCTGACTACAGTTTTTGTTTAATAAAGAATACACATGTTCAATCACTACTTAAAAAGCCCTATATCAAGTTTAGTAACAAAATACAAGGCTACTGACATTTGACAAAAATTCAGATGCAAAATAAAATGTGTATTTTATATCTTTAGACTACCACAGTCACTCGTACATATGCAGCTTTAAGCATCGACTAGAAGAGCAACACAACCTTATGTACTCCATAAAATGCTGTGCATTGCGTGTCTCCATAAAAAACATTAAGGTACCACAACATGTCTCAGAATAAAGCAGTCCTTGCTGACCTGTTTTCATTAAATACAAATGTTCTTAATCCCTGTTCATAAAATACAGTAATCCCTACACCCAAGTTAACATACAAAGCTACATCTAAATTACTTTGGATGGAAACATATATTGTCTGCTATTTTCTTACGCCTTTTCAACTTTGGAGTTTATTGCTTTTTTGTCACAGCTAGCAAACCTGACTGAGCGTGAATCAGTCTTCGATGTTCGTCGTAGAGAATTCTGGAAGGTTCCCCATTTCCGTACAAATTACGCACTGCAGTCGCTTGCTCATAATCTACCTACATTGCTTAACAACATTGTGATGAACCGCATCGATATTCATTGTATAACTAAGAAAACATTGCATACTTTTTGTGTTGTTAAATTAAGAAAAAATATGTTCTCTAATGTCGGTGATTTTAAAATTTTTATTGGAACATTTTAAATTGTTTGATTTGACTATTGTAAGAAATATTTAGGATTGTTTAAATATGATTGTGTTCCCTGTACATGCAAGGGCACCGGACCCAGTCAAGCTAGCTTCTGTTAGCTTTTTGTCCGGTGTCCTCGGCATAATGTTGCTGAAATAAAGTTCAAAGTTCAAAGTCTTAAAGATATCACAGCCACTAATACATATGCAGCGTAAACACTGACTAGAAGAGCCCACAGGCTCCATGTTAAAAAAAAGGGGTTGTGACTAAGCTGAATCTGTGTAATTTAGAAACAACTGAAGTTCACCTTTTTTTTCAGTTTGAAGAGCAGAGTCAATTTCTTTTATGCGCTCGAGTACTTTGGGCAGTTTAGAGTTCACATCTCTTAGCAGGAGGTGTCCACTCCCCACCTTGTCCATGTCCTTAACTGCCTCACCCTTGTTTATGAGTTCTTGTGCACTCAGTAGAAGTGCTTTAAGAGAAGACAGTTTGAACGCGACTGAAAATGAGATGTAGCTGATCAGGCTCTGATCCCTGCGGGGCAGGCTGCCTTCTTACGTGACGAAAAGCCCACCAACTTCTCTGTACCCCCCCCCCCCCAACCAGATACACCTATACCCGAAACTTATACCAGTAGGGTGGCTATAGCAAGTTAAGGTACGTTCTTGACAGGTATCGGCGGCGCGGGAGTGTTGTACGGCATTTCTGATGTCACCCCCCCTCCTCCACGCTAAAGGAAAGAAACAAAAAAGTGTGTAGCACTGCCAATTAACCAACTCGCTTAAGATCGCGGGTATTGTTTTCGCTAGTGGTCTGACGGCAGAGACAACACACGACAGCGTGCACATTCGCGCACACAATGATGGTTTTGGTTTCGCTTTGATAAGACAAATTGAGCTCGAGAACGGATGTGCCTGTGCTCGCGATTCTTCACGGCTAAGCGTCCAAATATGGTAGGCTATTAAATAACAGGTAAAGCTAGTAAAGACCACTTACTTCTGCTCATGTTAACGGCCAAGGTAGCCTACCGGTGCCGAGGCACCAACTCCCACGATCACGGCAAATCGGGACCACGGGCAACTGCATGCGCGCTCCAACCGCGCCAACCAACTATGCCCAAAACCAAACCGATGTGTTCGTATATCAAGCTCTTTGTAGTAAAAAACGACATCGCACTCTCGATGAACTAAAATCGGCGCCTCGCCCTGAGGTTAGACATGGCTCGGAGCCCCAGTCGAGTTGGTACGAGTCACCCGCAGTGACACCTAAGCAAAAGTACACACCACATGGTGGCCCGTGGCCAACCGTTTTCCGCTAAATTTAGAGAAAACACACACAAAAAAAGTTGAAATTGGCGTTTTGGAGCTGGCTGGCGCAGGGAAGTGAATTGGCGCAGGGTGGCGCAATTGGCGCAGTGCTTCCACCCCTGCGTGTTTCATAATCCACGCAACAATATTTTTTGATTTGTAGGGTAATGTAGGGTTTTCTAAAAGCTGGCATGATGTATTTCGATCGACTTGCAAACCTAAATGTTTGTTTCTTGGCATTTTGGTGTTTTAAAGCGTACATGGTATAAGAGAGGTAGATTTAATTAGCGGCAGGGTACGAGATTTAGTTTAGCCTAAGCGACCGGGCGGGCCACGAGAAGGTAATAGGGTCGGCCTTTGTGTTGATTTTGGCGGTCTTTTTCTTCGTGATAGACACGCAAGTTTTTGAGTAGCTGAGTGATGAGTAGAAAAGAGAAGATCAAGTGGGACGTGAACATGGCGGAGTACGGAAAGTGCAAGCGGTGGTGCTATTTAAAAGAAACGGCATTCGGGAGCGTAGCTGATTCAGAGAAAATTATCTTCGCTTGCCAACTTTGTGAGAAGATGGAGAAAGGCTTGAGAAGGTTAGAACGAGTGGAAGGATAAGTTCGAAGAGATGAAGGAAGAACTGAAGAGCGGCTCCTGCTCAGAGACGCACTGAGTTGAAGAGGGGGAGCCTGAAGTGAGATGGCAGGAGCTTACCAAGGAATGTGAAGGCAAGCTAGAGCACATGGGGGCTGAACTTAATGAGGAAAGGGAGAAGCGGGCAGAACTTGAGAAGCAGGTTGAGGAGCTCAGGCAGGGGGAAGCGCGGAAGGCAGGGCTAGAAGAGGGGAAAAAGGAGTGCGAGGATAGAGTTGAGTGCGTCATCGGTGTAATTAGGGAAGGGGAAGAGCGAGGAAGGGCAAACAATGATGGCAGAATTGCAGGGCATTCTCAGAGTAGAGGTCGAGAAGAGGGTCGACCTAGAAGCACAATGGGAAGAGATAATAATACTAACTTTATTTTCACCACAGATACATGTGCTGAATGGGAGGCCAGAGAAAAAGCTGCACGAACACAGCTTGACAAAGCTCCAGACCCCCTATTTAGCAGCTACGACACGACACATAATCTATTTACAATTAACATTTAATTTTTTGTGCATTTATATATGAACATAAATAACATATGCATGATCAAGACTTAAAACTATAAATGGCACCACTTTACCCAGGATAGAGGAGCTTGAAGGCATGGTATACAGTCGCACCCCCACGCAGTTAAAGTCCCATTGCTCCTATGGGAGAATGAAGGCCATAGGGAGAACCGTTTTCTAGCCCGGTCATAGAAGACATGGCAGGGCAGCACTGAGCATCTCGCTCAATTTTATTTCTCAACACTGATTGCGGGGTCTCCCAAAAGTAAAATGGAAGCACAAGGAAACCTCACAAGTTGTAATCCTGGACCGGCTTGCTAGAACAGCGTCTCAGTTGAGACTGAGTGCAAGAAATCACTGCAAAGGGTGGGGCGCGCAAGCTTCTTGAGACGCGACTTGAGTCCCGCTCAGCTTGTGCGCTGGATTTGGCAGTGCTTTCTTTCCCCGTCTCAGCTGAAACGCTGCTTCTAGCAAGTCGGCCCTGGCTGCTTATAATTAGTTGCAAAAGGCAAGAGTCATGGTTGGTGTAAAGCGCAAAGTGGAAACTTGGAGTCGTCGCATTTTCACGGATGACAAGTGACGAGGCGGCGAAGGACTGAGTAAACTGAACGTTTAATGGGGCGAACTTGTGCCCAAAAATAAAAGATAACAACGGAGCGTCGCGGGCGGCGAAGGCGGCGAAGCAGCACAATCAAACGCTGAGGCGAGACTGACTCCTGCTTGCCACGCGGAGCCGCTTTTGTACACGCGTTGGCTTCTGGAGCATTCGACGTAGAAGGTTCGACGCGTAGAACATTCCAACCTCGAATCAGCTAGACGGTTCTCGAATTGACCAGAACATCACATTACAGTGTCAACAAAAATGCGTAGCCGCGGCCAGGAGTCGAACCCTGGCCCTTCGCGTGGGAGGCAAGCGCAATAACCGTTAGGCTACGGCCGCGCTGCATACTTTGCGTGCGGCAGTATTATTAAACCAACACCATGAAAGTTGATCGTCTGACATTGTTATTTCAATAAATGAAATAGTAATCTAAAGAATGACAACCTAGGTAGGGTTTTGCTCATGTGCAACGCTTTTGTTAGCGCACTTCATGGGAAAGGGGTTTATGAGACCCTTTTTCTGAGCCTCAGATTTGAGCCAGGATGACTGGCTGTTTGTTGCCTTACCGTGAGGCCCAGTCACTGCGGTTTGGACACAATGCTCTCCGTAAGTTGACTACGAATAGAGTAACGTTTAAACCGAAAATCTCATATCCCTGCACGATGGCGAAGAAAACAGAACCGGCAAGGTGTGAAAGCTGGAACCTTTAAAAAATGTTTGTTTGTTTATCTTGAAATGAAGGAAAAGAAATTCCCCTACCTCATCGTTATCATATGTAGCTCAATATTTGCACGTTTTGTGGTGTCGGAACATGGCGGGCAGCATTGAATAGCTTATTTATAGGCACTAGGTGTCTTCGACAGCATGCTCGTGATTCTTGTGAAGCGCTTGTTTTTTGTTTTGTTTTTTCTTGCAAGATTAATTGTGATTCACCGCAAGAACAAGGAAGAGCGAGGAAATATTTGAGACGAGAATCCTCTGCGTCTGGTACAGAATCAGCGCCACTTTTCCTGAATTTCTCAACCTCGAATTTCAACCACCTTTCAAAAGATGACTGAAGTGCGTGCCGTCTGCTACAACATATAAGTCCATTTTAATATTTAAGACAATTAGTGTGCTTTAAAAAATTACAAGCATAGAAAGCGATTTCAATTAGAAAGAGAAAAGCTCTAATTAAAGAATCTTTGCTTAAATAGCTGTCCTCCTTTCTGAAACCGGTTTCTAGCGTACAAAGTCAAGCTCGAAAACAGTCAGATTTAAATTTTTTTAGAACAAATCCGAATATAAATACAACACAACCAGCCTTACAGAGAACCAGCCCAGTTCCTCTAGCATACAATAAAAAAATTAGATCAGATGCCAGAACTGCTGAAGTTGCACTTCTAATATTTTTCATGCTGAGTTTCTATGTTTACCAGGAGCATTATTAAATGTATTATTAAATGTAATTGCTGCCTTATGACGTGAAACTGAGTTACAACACTTCGAAATAGCATAAGAAAGGCTTTTTTTTAATGAATATTAAAAATGCCAGTGTGATAAATAGGAAAAACACGCATTCACGGAACCAGGCGGGTCATTTTTCTATTCAGTAAAAAAATAGGAATGTGTCTTGGATGCCTTACAAGTCTAGTAAACTTGGAATGCATAAAGGTATGTCATTGAAGATATCAAAACTTGCAAATTTTGTTTTCTTCTTGTACGTTAAGTTTTGACAAATTCATATCACATTCTGCACTAAAAGGGTGATGATGAATTGAAAATTTATTTGCAAAAAGTACTAAATATGTGGCCCGCACACAGACGCGACATTTGCACCGCAAACAGGAGCATTAGCACAGATGCTACCGGTTTATGGTTGGGGCCGTGGGACCGCTGCCTTCATGAGCCTAAGGACGAAAAAGAAAGGGCCTAGGCTGGGATGAGGAAAATGTAAAGTCAGTTGTTAGCGATGCGATTGTCCAGTCCTTCGTGATCTTGTTTTTCCGTGTTCAGCTGACCTGATTGCCAACCGTATGTGTTGCGTTTTTGAAGACCTTTATTCAACTGACACCCTCCAGCACCGCTCGTGCCGAGTACAACTCAGAAGTCCCATACGCACCGGGTTTTCTTTTGCCCGGCTTCCGCCCCCGCACTCGTAGTGCCCTCTGGACACCACATCTTTCCCCTCCTTTTTAAACAAACATACCCAGCTGGTAACATCCTGCCATTAACAGTAAATAGTTTAGAAAAGTCCGTCGCTTTCCTTTTTTTTTTTTTTCCTCTTCTATTAGCCTTTGAGGCTTGCGCCGATCTCGCACGGGATACCGTCGCTCTCCGTCACTATTATCTACATCCATGAGCGTCTCAGCATCCTGGGTGTTGCTTCTTGGCCTCGGGACTTCGGATGGTGCAGGCAAAGAGGCCTGTGGAAGGCATCTGTCGCCTGCGCTGTCTTCCGGTGTGCTGTCTGTCCAAGCCGTGGCAGACACCCCTCCCGCTTCGTCTGGACGAGACTCTGAAGGTACGGAGTCTTGCAACGGTGCTCGGAGCAACTGGTCCTGATGCCTTCGACATACCCGTCCCGGGGAGACTTGCACTTGGAAAGACACTGGACCAGTTTGGGCAGCGACTGTTCCTGGCTGCCACTTGTGACCACTTCGATAATCTCTGGCATAGACTTGGTCTCCTGCAGTGAAAGCCCGCTCTTGTCCTGGGTGTTGCCGCTGTTGGCGGTAGTGTGCGCTGGCCACACAGTCTGCAACTGATGGTTTCAGGAGGTCCAGTCTGGTGCGAAGATGCCGCTGTAGCATCAACTGGGCCGGAGACTCTCTTGTTGTCGGGTGCCGGGTGTTCAGTAGAAGGCGAACGTTTCGTCGACGGCGTCTGAGTGGGGGTTGTCCGTTGCTTTTGGGAGTCTTGACAAGCAGTCTGCATTGGCATTTTCCTCGGAAGACCGGTGGACGATGGTGTAGCGGTGTGCAGCTAGCTGACAGGCCCACCTCTGGAGCCTCGCTGCTGTCATTGTAGGGATCCCGGTCGTTGGGCCTAGGATTTTTCTTCGTTCTGCCAGTCACCAGGATGTCGTCCAGGTAGCAGGTGGTCTGCGGCAGCCCTTGAAGCACTTGATCCATAGTTCTTTGAAAAATGGAGGGTGCAGATGCTATGCCGAAGGGAAGACGGTTCACTTGGAACAGCCCCAACTGGGTGTTGATGGTGAGGTACTTCCGTGCTGCAGGATGCATCTCCAGCTGTAGGTAGGCTTTTGACAGGTCCAGCTTTGAGAAAAATTTCCCTCCTGCCAGCGTTGCAAACATCTCTTCTATCCTGGGGAGCGGATAGTTGTCGACCTCCAAGCACGGGTTGATTGTTGACTTGTAGTCGCCACAGATTCTTATGTCTCCATTCTTTTTGACGACCGGCACGATGGGAGATGCAAACTCGCTGCTGTCCACCGGGGTCAGGATCCCCGCCTCCTTCAGTGCCATCAGTTCTTTAGAGACAGCTGCCTTCAGGGCGTGGGGCACTGGTCTTGGCTTGAGGAACTTTGGAGTGTGCCCACTCTTCAGCTTGAGGTGAGCTTCAAACCCCTAAGACGGCCCAGATCGTCTGAGAACACCTGAGCAAAGTCCTTCAAAAGCGTGTCGACTTGTTCCTTGCTCCCCTTCTCCAAGCACTGGACAGCCTTGATGCTTGTCCAGTCGAGCCTCAGCACCTCCAGCCAGTCACGTCCCAAAAGCGGGGGACCCTTGAAGTCCACAATCTGCAGCGGTAACTTGTGAACCTGGTCTTGGTACTCTACTTCAACCTGTGCCTCTCCTACCGGCTTCACCTTTTTACCGGTAAATGCTCGAAGGACGACTCCACTTCTTCCCTTCACTAGATTGGGAAACCTTGTCTTGTACAGGTCTAACGGGAGTACCAACACCGCCGCCCCGGTGTCTACTTCCATCGTCAGCGGAATCGTGTTCACCTTCACTGTTACTTGCAGAGGCCGCGGACGTGTCCCCCGAAGCTCGAACATCTCGACCTCGTCTTCCGTGTCGACGTTCAGCGTCTTGACTTTTTTTCCTTGATTCCTCCGGCCTCGTGTCGGTGCTCCGCGATGCTGAGAAGCTGCTGGCCCGGACTGCTGGCTCCTGCACACTCGTTCAAGGTGTCCGCGTCTTCCGCACCTACGACAGTCTAAGCCTTTCCACCTGCAGTTAATTGCTGTGTGATTCGTAAGTCCGCAGTGCTTGCATTCGGACTTGTCCTGGTCCACCTTAAGCACCTCGACGTCCGCGCTCCGGCAATGTAAAACTTGTGCGTTCGCGGAGGCGGCTTCCATCGCCACTGCGATTTCTAGCGCCTTCTCAAACGTCAGGCCTGCTTCCGACAACAGTCGCTTTTGAATGGAGTCGCTGATAATGCCGCATACCATGCGGTCACGTAAGGCTTCGTTCAAAGTGCCGCCGAATTCACATGTCTGCGCCAACTTTTTCAGCTCGGCTACGAACTCGAGGATACTTTCATTCTCATTTTGGTTTCTTTTGTGAAAATGGAAGCGTTCCGCGATGACAAGAGGCTTTGGCGACAGGTGCTCTCGCAATATGGCTACCAGCTCGATGCACGACTTGCTAGCCGGGATGTCCGGCGCCACCAAACTCTTTAGCAGAGCGTACGTCTTCGCGCCAATGAGGCTTAGGAACGCTGCCACTTGCCTTTCTGGTTTGACATCGTTTGCGACGAAAAACTGGTCGAGTCGCTCGATGTAGGTTGGCCAGTCCGTGCCCGCTTCGTCGAATGGTTCAATTCGACCGAGAGTCGCCATGGCGTCGCGGCGTCACCGGGGAGTAGTGCGGCGGGCGACTCTTCGACGGGGCTCGCGTGGCTGGACGCTCGTCGCCAGTTGTTGCGTTTTTGAAGACCTTTATTCAACTGACACCCTCCAGCACCGCTCGTGCCGAGTACAACTCAGAAGTCCCATACGCACCGGGTTTTCTTTTGCCCGGCTTCCGCCCCCGCGCTCGTAGTGCCCTCTGGACACCACAGTATGTACCAACTAGCTCTACTGAAACCCGTAACTCCTGACCCCTCCTTGGAACCTGCAATGTGTAAAAAATCAAAGGTGTTTACAAAGCTCTGTAATGCGAAATTAGAGCTCAGCTCTTGAGGAGGAGGGGAGGGTATGATATACCCCCTCTTCTTTCATCCTCTTCCCCTTCTCCAGCATACCCTCCCCTCCCTACCTCCCCTCCTCCCCCAGTTTCCCTGCTAAATTTAGCTGGAAAATTGACACCATGTGACCTCAACATCAATCAGTTACCCCGCAAAATTTAGCAAGGAAAAGTGTGTCACATGACTTCAAGCAACCCATGAACAATTTAACGGGAAAATTTACATCACATGACCTCAACACCAATTCAATTTCCTGCTAAATTTAGCAGGGCGAACGCCACCATAGGCGGAAACGGGCGCCAAAGAGCTAAATTTCGGAAGGGTAAAAGGGGGCATCTTCTCCAACATCTGATCCCTGGAAACACCTGCATCCACCCCTGGCCGTTGGGGGGTTCAAACCCTATGTCCCAACTCCGTGCCCCAAAGTCGACTAGGAGGATGATCCTCCCAACATAGAACTTGCACTTGTCGCTGCGGCAGAAAAACGAAAGCCATTCGCAGGCAGGATGCAAACTGCAGTCGGCAGCCGCAAATTCTGCTTCTATGCAAGACGACCACAAGAAATTCCCATGGAAAAAAGAAACCCACCAATTTTATTTCATTTTTTGGTAAAACTTATTCTCGGTCCCATCCAGGCACTTTTGAGCCCGAGATTCTTCTAATTGAAAAAAGCTCCCCTCTCCTGACCCCTGAAGCCACTACGGCAGGCGCGGTTGCCCAGCTGACAAAGGAGGCTACAAGGCCCTCAGCCAAACCTGGACAATCCCTTGATTTCATTCATCGCTGTTTACTTCATGCTACTGGGCTACTTCAAAGAACCCAATCGTGCAACCAACCATTAACCAAGGCTGAAAGCACGAGGCAGTGCTCCAGACTAGAGTGCTACCGACAGTATGAGACCCCAAAAAATAAAACCCCTCTTTAGCACATCTGGCCTCCCAGTGCATCTCACCAGATTGGGCACTGCATTTTGTCGGTAACCAGCATTACAAATTGCAGTTCTAATATTGCTATTATTACAAGTTGTAACGATAACGAGTTAGCTAATCATGAGACGTCATCCTGTCTAGTTTCGGTCTCTTCTACAATTTCATGTATCTTCTTTACTCCAGTCTCAGGTTAATTCAACATGTTTACAAATTGCAGTTCTTCTGTTGCCAGAAGTACAACCTGCAGTTCTTACATTGATAGCATTACAAATTGCATTTTTTTTTGTTGCCATTTACCAATGGATGTTCTTAATTTTCCAGACTTACAAACGGCAGTTCTTATGTTCCCAGCATTACAAACTGCAGTTGTTACCTAGCAAAAAACATATGTAAGGACCCGTCAAATCTGTGTACCATCTTTACCAATGTATCAAAGATCAACTTTATTGTAAAGAAAAGTTTTAAACTTGTAAAGCCGATGCAAAGACTCAAGGTGCTCTCATTACAAGACACGTCCTTCAAATGACCTCTCGCAAATTGGCTACCCTTAAGTGGGAGCACAAAAGAACACTGCGAGACAAAATGACAGGACAGCACTCAACAAAGCTTGTGCAGTCAGGTCTAAAAGCTGGGAATTTTCATGGTCGTGGATTTGCCTCAAAATAGGCTCAACACATCTGTGCGGAGTTTGCTTCTTTCGCGTGGGTTGCGTCAGAACGCCCAAGGAGAGTGGCTAGAGCTGCCTCTACCCACCATCCTTCAACCAATCAGAGCTTTTTGTTGTCACCCCTGCAAAAGAAGCTACACTATAGTAACCCAAATATTTGATCAGCTAGTCGTTCAATTTTTAAACTTTGGTCCCCGTTTTTTAAAGCTGTGAAATGAATACAGCAGAACAAAAAGCACTACATATTATGGTTTTTAGGCTACTTGCTTGACCTGTAAGTTTTACATGTGACCTCATTCCACTCGAGAGGACATATGAATATTTTGGCATTATATTCCCTTAACTCCTTTTTCAGTGCCTGAAGAAGACAGGTACGCTACTAAATTACCTTTCCCCCCAAAATAAGCTTTTCCTGCTACGTTGCGAGACGAGATGGAAGCATGTTTCAGACCTGCTCAAATCAGTCGCTCGAGAGAAATATTACGCTGCAAGTGTTTTCATTAAAGGAAACATACAGGCCGTATTCAGGCACATTAAAAGTTTTGAGTAGGAGACTGCCCCTTCCCAGTTGCAACTGCAGCGATAACATTGTTACAGAAAGCTATCAGCTTGCCACAATTGGAAGGCACCCGATGACTGTGCAACAAACTCGTCCAGTAGTAAGACTTACGAACCAACTTTAACAAATAATCAAGTCTCCACAAATCATTGAGTTTTTTTTTGGCAGTGTGACACTAAATTAGTTTTTTCATATTGAAAATGCAACAATCAGCTCCCAAACAACACTGTTTCCAGGAATGCAAACCAATTTGTTATTGCAATATGGTAATTAGGATTTTCCTGTGATAAAACATTACAATCATCTTACAAACACGGTAGCATTTCACAAATTAACTACTTTTTTTTTTGGCAGTGTGATACAAAATTAGGTCTCTATATTTAAAATGAAAAAAAAACAAATTGCTCACAAAAACTGTTCTCAGAAATGCGCAACAAAATTTTGGCAAGATACCATATTTACTTGCAGAATGAACGCACTTTTTTCCGAAAAATCTATGCTAAGTTGAGGGGGGCGTTCATTACCTGAAGTAAAATTGTAAATTTTTGCGTCCCTATTTACTCCCATAATGAACGGACCATTTCTCCTGAAAAATTGAAGCAACTTCTTATCTCTTTGCACCCAGCGCAGGACCCAGTAACCAAACTAAGCTGTGCGAAAAAAACAAAAAAAGCCTGTTTCTTTTTTTTTTTCTTTTAATACCTTGGGTGGTTTTTTTTTTTGTTTTTCTTTCTTTGCCGCCTTTTGCAAGCTGTTTTGTCTGCTTAAGCTTTGCTTAGGCGAGGGCTCTCCGCTTATCTTTATCTCTTTGCACGCCGCCGCGCCCTACGCAGCACGACCCCTGTAACCAAACTGCGCTGTACAAAAAAAGAAAAGAAAAAAGCTCTTTTTTTCTGTTTCTTTCTCACTTTCATAATTGTTTCTTTTTTTTTTGCCGGTTTTTACAAGCTGTTTCGTTTGCTTGGAGGGCTTCTCCGCTCCTCTTTCTTACCTCCTTGCGCGTGGCGTGCGTGCGACCCCCTAACCAAACTGAGCTCTACAAAGAAAGAAAGAAAGAAAGAAAAAAAAAAAAGCTCTTCTTTGTTTTTTTGTAGTTCTGTTTTTTTTGTTTGTTTTTTTTCGCCTTTTGCAAGCTGTTTTGTTCGCTTTGAGCGTTTCTCCACTTCTCTTTCTTACCTTCTTGCGCGCGGCAGCGCGCAAACCCAAAGTCCAGACTGCGCTGTGCAAAAAAAAAAAAAGCTCCTCTCCATGTTTTTTTTCTTGCTTCCGTTGGATCTTTGCGAATTTTTTTAACGCCTTTTGCAAGGCGTTTTGTTTGCCCACGCTGCTCATGCATTCGCGACCTTGCTGCACCAGGATAGAAAAGTGTGTTAATTTGTAGTGCGTGGGGGGAGGGGTTAAAATTTTGACGTCCGAGTTGGGGGTGCGTTTATTACGCAAGTGAAAAAAAAAGTCGAAATTTTGAGAGCCGACTTGGGGGGTGCGTTCATTGCGCGAGTAAATACGGTATTGTTAAATTGGTTGTCCTCGATAAAACATAAGTCAGCTTAAAAAACAATATTTCAGTAAATCATTGAAAGCTTTTTTTTGGGGGGGCAAAGTGACAATAAATGTTTCCCTTTTTAAAATACAACAATGATAGGCTGAGAAAATGATATTTTCAAAAAAGCAAAAAGGTTTTTGACGATGGTGGTGAATTTTTTTGTCCGTATTAAAAGCAATAGCACGAGAGCAAGTGCCACTGCTACATTAAAATGCATGCGAGAGAAATTTGCTATAATAGTGCCACCGTCTTTGTGTGCAAACAGTATTCCCTAGCAGTGAAGTCAATGCATAAATGAAACACAATGTGAAAAAAAATATCACAGCCCAATGTTGCAACCCCCACCATATAAAAAGAGTAAAACAAACATCACAATTTAAGTGTCAGAGGATTGCACGCTGCTGTGTCAAAGGAACTCTTCTACAATTCCAATGGAATGGGAAAATTTGCAGCGATCCGTCTCCCCTTGTGACATGGACTGCAACTGTCACCCGTCGACAGCGAAGCCGAATCAAAGATGGCGGTTGAGTTGTGTGTCGGGTGAAATCCGGCTTCCGAGAGATTGTCCGACAAAGTCGAAACATTCGTGACTGGACTTGTAGGAACGGCGACCGGATCGAAGAGCTTCATCGGCTCACAGGCCGGCTCGGATGCCGGTGTGGAAACCGAAGAACCTGCAGTGACCCAAAGCAACGGAGATATTTAAGAACCTTCTTTATTTCTTAGGTACTAAATTAAAACCAATAAGACATGATTGTCATTCCGTGTCGTTCTGCGCTTTGTCCCTTGTCCGTATCCCCAATCTCGGTTTTACAACTATGCTCAATTTACACCAGCTAGCCCTCACCATTGCTTTGTATTGTTTGCAGGCTATTTTCATTGGAGCTAAATAAAGGATGCGTAGATATTTTCAAGAAAGCATGGTATTTTATAAAGATAGATGCGAAAAATTATCCAGCTAGAATAACATATTAAAAACACAAACACTCTCCGACATGCGAATGAGGTTCCCAGTGATGTGATTGGCCTAAGCCATCTTGGAGCACCTTTCAGAGCAGCCGAAACAGTGTTTCGGAACGGAAAAAGGTTGCTTTTTGAGCAGATATTCTTTGAAAAATAAAAATGTTTGTTTTAAGTCTGGACAAATCATAGTTTGTTCATTGCTTTAAGTCTGGACAAATCATAGTTTGTTCATTGCTCACCGCAATGAACAAACTATGGTTAAGTTAGACCACCTGCAAGTCTCAACATGTTAACTGAAATGCCAATGACAGGACATGTTTTGCAATGCTAAATGATACATATATATGTACCCCCTATAGATAAATAAGAACCAAGCTGCACATACTAAATTTATTTTAAAATGACTAGCTTAGTAGTAAACATCAAAGCATAAACTTGACTAGTCATAATAAATAGAAGCAGTATCCGAATGATGAAACACGTAACTACTGCAGTGTAATGTGAAGCTGTACACAAGAAAAAGGTGCAGTGCGACTAGCGGGTGCTTTTCCTTTTGCATTTCGAAACTTTCTGCAAGGCTGCTGCAAGCCTCACTTTGCCTTCAGCAAGTAATAAATGTCCACTTTCAATGTCTGCAAAGAGACATTGAGACATCCCACAAGTGTACAGTGCTCTAGGCATTGCGAAGCAATTCTGAAAAACCACCTGCCACCATTTTACTGGTTCCCGACGTGCCAGATTTTCGTCAAAAGCAAGCAAACGTAAAGCAATGGAAGCGCCCCGGCTGGTGCCTCTGTCGTGCAATCATGTTCGCATGCACGTGAGGGCAACTTCAGCAGCTTGCGTTTTGTCGTGCGAGCGGAGATAGCTGTTCAATCGAAACCATGCCACTCCGCTCTGTCGCCAACTTATTCCCAAAATTGTGTGCAAAATTTAACTGTGGACCACAAGACAAAAAACAGTCCAGCGGCACAGCTTGCCAGGCTAACAGGCACGGTGCAAGCTAGACACGCAGAAAAAAAGAACTTGAACGCATTGATGCAAGACATAGCGAGTCAAGATCAAAAAGTTCTTCAACAACTGAACTCGAGACAAACAAGCACACTGTGTGGGTTCAGCATGCAGACATTGCCTTTTTTGTTTTAGCTCACTTGTCTGCACCAACTTTCTTTCAAGGCGGACTTTGCACATACCCGGGCCCCTCTCAAAAGAAAGCCCACCGAGAGAAACCTAGGTAATCAATACTTCAACACAGCAGTCTTAAAACAGGGATTTTCGCAGTAGCGTATGATTCAGACAAGAACAGGAATGTTGATGACCTTGCGACTGTCCTTAAGTTTCCTTTAAGTATCCCTAATCGGGATTTTGCACGAAAGTTAAAGCAAACACTCACTGGCCTTCAGTTGTTTCTTGCTTTCACTAGTAATTCCTGGCAATCTGATGGACCCATTGATTACTTCATCATTGACGAACTGTTGGAAACATTCAGAAATGCGGACAGCAGTGTTGCAGAGTTGCCACTCCGGAGTTGGAATCATTCTGCACTTCAACGACACCAAAATGGAATGAGAATAGAATCAGATGCCTTTTTCCCGGGGGGGGAATGGGCTTGGTTCTTATGCAAGCTGTGTTGATTTTCATCTGGGGTCTCCAGGCTGATGGCCCAATTCGCTAGTGCATGGCTCTTGAAACAGCATCATTGCACTGGAGGTGACTGGCGATTCGATTGTCTCACTGGCTTCTACGAGAATCAAAAATGGAGCGCCCTCGGTGGAGTAACTAAAACTGAATGCAGTGGAACCTCGATTAGGTGTCCCCGGTTTCTCCGACATCTGCATTTTAAGACGAATTTGCTTAGTCCCGACAAACTACCCATAGAAATAATGTATTCAAACTTTGGTTTACACGATGCGCGATTCTACGCGTGCCACGTCATACGACGTTCCGGCGGGAAACCTGTGACGAATTCGACGGCTCCATGAGGAGGGGGGCAGTGGCTTCTACGCGCCGTTTCAGAGGGTTCAAAAACACGCCGCCGGCAACCCAAGACAGCCGCAGCACCGGGAAAGGGCAGGAGACCGCGCTTTCCCTTCACCTCCCGGGTTGTGAAATGCCTTTGCATTTCCATGTGCTTGCTTATCTCATCGTTCCCTCAATCACCCTCGCTCTCCTCTGCACACCACTCTCTCCAACTCGTTGCTTCTCCCAGGATTGAGCATGCTTCCGCTGGCTGCCGCCGTTCCCACTTCCGGAAAGCATGAAAAGCGACAAGGATCCCATCGTCACGATTGTGCATGCCAGCGAATGATGTCTCGCAAAAGAACACCATTGACGATGGAGGAAAAGCTACGGCAGATTATTAGCTTAGACATCCTTTAAAACCTCCGCTTGTCTTTTTCACGCGAGGCCAATCGCTGTATTCGTGATTATTGTTTTTTCCGGGTGATACGACGATCACGGATTCTACTATGATTTTGCTTGGTCCCACAAAAGTCGCATCATCGGGGTTCCACTGTAGTTGTATACAAACAAGGTGTCGGTCCTGGCCCTGCAAGGCGCAACAAAGCGGTTGTTGTAATTGTGCGCGATTAGCGGCTTTTAACCAGGGTGTGGAACTGAACCGAAAACCGGAGCCAAACCATTATAATCGAAATCAAACATTTGATATTGAACCCGAACTAGAATGGAATCTCCTATGGCAGTTCCCAGTGCATTGGAAACGGTTCGACGTGATAAAACGTGAGCTGCCCCATCTTGCGGGTGGCGGCATTAAGTCAACTAAATATTTTGACTAAACAAACGGCTGCAACATGGAGACAGCTTCACAATAATGGAACAAATAAGCGCAGCCCCATGGAGCACAAATTGGTGCCGGCATAGAGGTGCACGCATCCATACTCAACTTTACAATGAACCGCAAAGGACGCTACGAGCCACAGGAGACGATTCATAGCTCGGAGGGCGTCCCTCCGGCTAAGCGGAGCGATGCAAGGAGTGCCAAGTCAAGCTCCAAACTATGGATTGGCTTGTGCAGCACGTAGCGTCCCTCGCGGCGCGTCCTAGGTGAAACCGAGTATACCTGACTATGCCTAAAAGAGCCATTCTTTCTGCGTATTTTCTTTTCTTGCTGCAATATTCCTCAAGGAAGGAGAAAGCAAACACCAAAATAAGTTATCATCAGTTGACGGCTGTCGGTGCGTTTCTCCCCCATAGTGGCGAAAACGGGAGGCACCAAACGGCAAAGCCGCGACAAGCGCGACACTCCGTCGCCGCAACGCGAGTCGCCCGAGTCCTGGGCGCTGCTCGGAGAAACCTTTTTTATGCGCAAGTTGTCTAGAAACAGCAAGGCAGCGTTGTCTTGTTCTTTTCGTTTTAATCATGTACTCTTCTTCTCTTCAACTAAGTTGTTGGAGCAAGTCGTTTGGGCATGGGATGGTTTGCCGTTTCGATCTGAATGAGCATCGCTTGCGGTCGTGCGAATAGTGCACAATGCCTGTTGAAGACCCCAGGCTAGCAGTTATACTGCACTGGCTAAATCTACAGTGGGTAATCAAGGTTGTTATACAATGGCAGACTAAATTCCTGCTTTCTAAACAACCACTAGTTTGTCTTTTGTGGGAAGTTTGCGAGTATGGTGTGTGCTACCGTCACGGTGTCACTGCACGTGCTGGCTGATCGACTTCACGTGTGAGTACTGTGCTTTGGCGCGGTATCCAAGTGCCTGTATAACCACATAACTGTTATAGAAGGGTGTTTGCATTAAAAGTTAAAGATCATAAAACAAAACTATATTTGTTTTGCTGTCCTCGTTTCCGCTTTTTCTGATGAAATTTGAATGCAGATGATGCTCCATTGAAATCACCTTTTAGGAACTGGTTTGTGTTAGGTGGAACCGGTAATCAAACTATTATTTCAAAAGCACCACTGAACCAGAACCGAACAATATGCAAAGTTACTGAACCCAGCCAATCATCTAGTGTTTCTCTGGAACACAAATAAAGAATTCAATGGAATATGTTAAGAAATTGCAATAACGATGCGGCAAACATTTAAAAAAAATCCCGAGGACACTAGTCATGAGTTGTGAATGCGAAAGCCTTCTCGGCGACAAGAGGAGCAAAAGCGGCCGCAGCACCGGCAAGGAGTGCGGCGGTGCGTTGCGCAGATCACAATGGCTCGCTGGTGACTGCTGCGCCACTGGGCAGCGGCGGGAGTGCCAAGCTGGGCGCGGCGTGTGCCGATATTGCCACGTGCATTGCCGAGCAAGTGCGGGCATGGCCAAATTGTTACCATGCTGGGGTTTCGTGCGGAGGCTCGGTTCCTGGAAGCGGAAGCTCTTTGTATTTATTCTTTCAACTTAGCATTCTCTGAAGTTTGAAAACCTTGTCGTCTAGTCGAGGTTCGAATGTTCTACGCACCGAAAGTTCTAAGCCAAATGTTCCAGAAACCCACACTGGCACAAAAGGTGCTCCGAATGGCGGTGCGGGGTCAGTCTCGCTCTTGCACTCAATCATGCTACTCCGCCGCTCTTCGACGCCTCAGATCTCTTTGTATTTTCTTTGTTCGGGCACAAGTTTGCCCCTATTAAGTTTCCTCCTGCACTACCCACCTCTCTGCCAGTCATTCATGGCATTTTGCGGAGGTGCTGGATGCAACCCATGCATCGTACCCTTCCGAGGCCTTGCAGCACAAGCCCCATGCAGCCGCGGCTCGAGAGGATCATTTGCAAAGATTAACGAAACTCGAGGAACACGAAGCCGCCGGATCCAAGGCCTACCGCCGGAGTTCAGCCCCCTGCCTGCCAAGGCCAAGCAGTCAACAAAACGAATGATGAACAGCCAGTTGGCGCAAACCGAGGCCGCTCCACCCGTCGTCTACCCGCCTGTAGCCCAAAGAACCACGACGACCTTCCATGGCGAGGTCCACAAGGATGTAGAGGACTGGCTGCAACACTATGAACGCGTAGTAGTGGTGCAAAACTATCTATAGTACTATCGATAGAATCAATAGTCGCCAGAAATCTGACTATCGATAGTAAAAAAAACTATCGTAGTGATAGTACTATCGATAGTCGACTATCGAAAATCTATCGATAGCACTATCGGTAGTCAACTGTCGAAAAGCTATGGATAGTACTATCGACAGTCGACTATCAAAAAACTATCGTTAATCGACCATCGGAAAACTATCAATAGTCGACTATCGTAAACCTATCGATGGTACTGTCGACGACTTACTATTGATAGTTTTGCGACACTAGTAGTTTGCGTCGCTCCCTCTTCTCTTTTCATCCCTTTATTTCTCTCAAATGGGACACCAACTAGCCCAGGCACTTGCCTTCCCAACTTTGGTTCAGCTTTCAGTGATGACGAAGACGGGAGTTTGGGCGAGGAGGAGAAATGGAGGTGAGCTGGAGAAGAGATGGGGAAACCTCCTTCTCTCTTTAGCGTTCCATCTGCTCCCTCCTCCCTGGCTCGCCTTACCCTTGCCCTACCTTCTTCGGTTGTAATGGACTATAGTGGTGCAAAACTATCGATAGCACTATCGATAGCATCTATAGTTACCAGAAATCTGACTATTGATAGTAAAAAAACTATCGATAGTCGACTATCGAAAAACTACCGATAGTACTATCGATAGTCGACCATCAATAGTATCGATAGTCAATTTATCTATAGTTTTGCATCACTAACGCGTAGCCCACCATAATGGATGGGCCACGGAGCAGCGCCTCCAAAACCTTTACTTCTCTTTGTAGGTCACTGCAAGGCAGTAGTTCGAGAACCACGAGGCTTCAGTTACGTTGTGGGACACCTGTATCACCGGCCTGAAAGATACATTCACAAATCACCACCGTAGACAGCGAGCCGAAGACCTCCTCCGGACAAGAACTTAAAGACCAAATGAAAGCATTACCAGCTTTGTGGAGAATGTCCTACGCCTGAGTGCCCGCGCTGATCCTCCGGCCACCGAGAAGAAGCTGCGCACCCCCATGAGAGGCGTGAAGAGTGAAATCTTCGGCAGTCTTGTCCGACTACCCCCAACGACTGTTGACGATCTTGTAGCGGAAATTACAAACATTGAGTGCGCATTGTCGGCCCGGGCAAGCTGCTACCACCGGCTCGTCGGCACCTCTGTTGCGTCAACTGTCGCATCATTGCGGCTTGACCTGGACATCGTCGGTGTGGACAACATTCGGCAGATTATCCGGGAAGAGCTCCGAAAGCTGCTACCCGCCACTGACCGTCCAGCTTCGCTCTCCCTTGCCGAGGCCATGCGGGAAGAAGTCCAGATTCAACCAGAGGCTCCCATCAGGGTCCCCGAGAAACCCACGCTTACGTACGCCGCAGAGGTCCCAGGGCCACTGCCTTCTCCTCGCACCTATGTCGCGCCGCCCCGACGTCCTACGCCGCAGTACGACCGACGCCACGACGACCAGGTCCAGTACGCATGCCAGGAGCCCCGCGCAGCCTGGAAAACCGACGCCCTATATGCTACCACTGCGGGGAGGCCGGCCACGTGTACTGATGGTGCAGCTTCCGCCAGATGGGGCTGAGAGAGTTTGCGCCGAACGACCCTCGGCCCTGCCTGGGAGAACGACCAAGAGACATCGACGAGTACCTGCGATGTCTCCCGTCTTCAGCGAAGGGTCCTTCCCGGAGATTCCACTCCCCATCCCCACAACGTCCGACATCACCTCTTCGTCGGCCCCTCCAAGAAGGCTTGTCCCCCGTGTCGCTGGGAAAACTAAGTGCGGCAACGCCTGAAGGTGACGTTGCTGAAGACGACCGAAGTAAAGAGCCTCCAAGAACGTCGGAGTGCTCCCACTCTCCTGACGCCCCACACCGCAACGAAGCTCCTAAAATGGTGCACCACAACCTAAAAATTGTTATCGACGGCCACAATGCTTCGACCCTCGTGGACATTAGAGCAGACTACTCAGTCTTGAGTGGGAGGGTCTCTCGCCGCCTGAAAAAAGTTCCGACGCCCTGGCATCGACCACAATTTCGAATCACCGGAGGTCACCTTATTACGCCCGTCGGAAGGTGCACTGCCCGAGTCGAGTTTCACAGTGAGACGTGCCCCATGAAATCCAGCATTCTACGAGACTGTACCAGACACGTCATTCTCGGCATGGACTTTCTGTGTGAATATGGCGCCGTCATCGACCTTGGTGAGAACTGGTTGGTGCTGCGGACGCCTGTTCCGCCTTCAAATAAACTCCGAACAGCGTCAGCCGCCGTCCGAGTCGCTGCCGACTATGTGAACCTGACACCACCATCAAATGTACCTGTCGTAATCGATGCAGCTGCCTGCAGCATCTAGGGTGACCTCAAGGACGACTTCTAGGACAACGCCTAGAAAAATTCAGCCTTTCCACTCTGGTGAAAACCAGAGTGGAAGGGCTAGAAAGGTTGTTGACATCTATGAGCGACAGCGGCAACCAGACAACCAGCAAGCCAGTTGTCTGGTTGCTGCCGTAGCTCATAGATGGCGGCAGCTGTCCAAAGTTTTGTGTCGAGATTTATTTGTCCATGGACAATAAGCCCTGAACAGCTGCGCTGTAAAAACACACTGTTGTTCTCACTCTGCCAGCGACTATAAACAAATTTGAACAATCGCTCCCTATGATCTGCATTCCTTGCATTATAGGGCTTTGGGAGCTAAAGCTCGCTGCCAATTTCTACACTCACCATCCGGAGGCGGATCGAACTTGATGAGGTCGCGCGCCGCTCCGTAAGACTGGATGCCCTCCGACGGAGGAACTTCGGGGCTGAGTTCGGGCGACGGAATGCAGCTTGGAATCGGACCATTAAGCAGATCCTCGGGCGAGAGCCGGAGTTCCAGCAGTTCCCGTTCAAAGCCGGGGTCCGTCGACGGCGGTGCGACTGCCGAGAAGGACAGTAGTGATTCGGGAGGGTCCGTTGGATTGACCGTCGACTTCTCAAAGGCCTCGGTATCCCTCGCAAGGCGGAGTGTACGCCTGTCCTTTGGTCCCGAAAGGACAAAGTACTCTGGCAGGGCAAGAAACAAGTCCTCCAGGCTCGCAAACCCATGCTGGTGTGGCTGTAATGCGACAACGTACCTGCACGGGAAAGGACACACCCAACAAACTTAGAGGCTCCAACATTACCGAAATAAGTTACGAATGTTTTCGCTTCCGAGCAAAACGCTGGCAAGCCTAGCTCTAAAGCCTGGTACAGACATTTGCACTTGAGCGTGACCGACTGCACTATGACTCTGTGTTACCTCGATCGCCAAAGCAATTATGTCGTCGTAAGCTCTCACACGCGGTCCTAACTCAGTCCATCGCACTCGAGCCTTAGGAGGTCTCGTCGGATCTGTGTCCCAAACGGCTAACATATAACATTAGGGATGTGCGAATACTCAAATAGAGAAATTCAAATCGAATAAGAAGTTCCCGAATAATTTGATTTGTGAATCGAATTCTGAGTATTTGGCCACTCGAATATTCTATATATTAGGCCAAAGATGCGCGATCACGCGGAGCTCACAAAATAGCTGTTTTTCCTCCTGATGTTAGCGCCGTGACGCTTGACAGACCATGCGAGAAACACCCATTGGTCCTATTCCACAAAAATCTAACGTACAGGTTAGAAAAAAGAAAAGTAACGAACGCCACAAACTTTACAGCAAACAGATTTACTCATGAACGTGACACAATCTAATCTTGAATCACAACCGAAACATCCTGCTTGCGCCACTTCCAGGGAGGAATGGTTGGGAGGCCGGAATTCCGCACCATGCCTAATTCTTTTCACGAGTCAAGCCCTTCGATTCAAATTGAAGCGCCGATGTAGCACACACTTGCGACACTCACAGAAATCACCAACTGCAAGGTCACATATTGAAATCACGCCGATGAAACCAGCCGAGTTGTCATCATTCTTTCGGAACCACAAGCCGCAAATTCTGATTCAAACGAAAAAAATAGTGTGCCTAGATTTGAGAGGGTTTCCAACCGTTCGATAGCCGCGTTTGAATTATGAACTGCAAGAAGGTGACGAAAGGACGAAAGCGCCGATCGAACAGGTGCCGTCGTTCTTCCGTTTGCTCGCCTCTTTCCTCACGACAACACAACACATGCGCGATTACAACCAATCTGCGCAGGAGCCGTCTCAGTGGTTTCAGTTTCACTTGCTCCCTCTTCTAAATCTAGGCTCTCTAAAACAGGATAGATGGACAAAGGAATGGATGCATAGCGGCAGTTGGACGGTGACTTACGCCACCTAATCAAACATTATTTTTTCTTACTTCCGAGTATTGTTTAAGCCTGTTTACTCAGATTTATAAAATGAAATCCCGGGTGCCCTTTTTCTCCCTTAAAATTGAAACCAAATATCTCAAAATGCCCCTTTTCTGAGATATACAAATATAATAAAAAGGACATGTCGCGGCGTTAGGTCGTGCTTTTAACGAGAAAAAAGGCACGCATGGCTGTAACTTGGGGTTTTTTGTGACGCTTGGGGTGGATAGATTATGTTTGCGTCACAAAATTGAATCTTTAGTGCCCAACGTTAATCAGCAGCTGCTTTTCTTTTTTTCACCTGAACTTGTATACATTTGAGCTTTAGTTGCGTACAAGATGCATATTCTGCACCAGGCGCATACTTTGCACATATGACATTCACAGCACACTTTGAAAAAACCTACAAATAAAATCACCATTCAATATATGGCTTTTCTTCTTAATTCAATTCCGTATTCGAATCGATAACTACTATTCGGTATTTGCACACCCCTATATAACATACGTAGCTTGTTTCGCTGTATAGGAAAGCGAAGCCGAAGCTACAAGCATGAGCGTCTAGCTCGTGCACTGCAAGAATCGTTCAAAGAAGAATAATGCTTCGACTGCACAAGTGCAAAATCTTGGCAGGGCTGCCGAAAGCCCAGAGCTCGCTCCTCCAGCTTCCGCTATGCTTGCACTTAAAGGGCAACTCCACTTCATTTTCGATGCTCAAAAAACAACGCAGTTCTCTTTAGTATCACCTAGAAAGACTACACGTCAAGTTTTACGACGTAATTAAGCCTAAAAGTTTGTTAAACTGGTAAACAAAGTTTGAGATGCCTCAAGTCTCCGACATCTGCTAATTCTAGCGGCCGATGTGCGGCGCAGAGAACAGCGCAGTCAATACCGCGTGTTGGCGCAGCCAACACTGCGCCGCACGTCATAGTCTGGGACCGCTTTTTTTCTTGTTTGTTACTTTATCAAGGCGCAGCCTACAGGCGGCGCCAGCAGCGTGAATACCGATGTCCACGTGATCCAAAACGCGCATGCACTGATGAGCGTCTGAGCGAGCGCTCCGCGCTCGTCGTCGGCAAGACCGAACCTGCTGCGTCTCGGAGCAACGTTTTGTGCTGCGATGCCTGGCATATTACGAGTGGTTTACTTAACTTCAACTACTAATGGTTCCAAAAAATAACTTTAAAACAATTTGTCTTTTTCTGCGTCAAAACACTCTGCGGCCGCGGTAGTGCACACGTCGCTGGATAGCAGAGACCGTGGAGCAGACGACACGGCACGACGACGCTTGCTCCGCCGATCCGTCCGTCCGCACGGTCGGCGAGGTCGTGCGGTGACGTTCGTACCACGTGGGTTGTCCCAGACTATAACGACGCGGGACCAATGTTGCCAGGCGCGGGCGCAGTTTCGGTTTCGGTTTGTGATCAGGAGTAAAGAAGGATTACAAGAATTATATTTCCTTTTTTGAAAAACAAACGACGTCGAGCCGTTTATTAGTATTCCTTAATGTATAATCACCAAAAAACCTGAAATTCCTGGAATTGAGCGGAGTTGTCCTTTAAGAGGGTCGCGGTACCTCTGTTTATTCATCCGTTTCAGACACCAGATGGCGCGCAGCTCATGACGTGGTTGAACGCGCGACTTCTAGATGGCGCCAGTATCGACGTGTGAAAAGGCTCGCGCTATCCGCTGCGTGAAATAGATCCCCGAAACGTGTCGTCGTGTTCTCCCGGCAAAGGAAGTTGCTCCCTCCATCGCGCGCGCTTGGTATGTTTGCGGTCAGTCAGCTCAGTGTGCGTAGCATCGGGCGTCAGTGATAATACGCGCGGTGCCCAAGTCCAGCCTCTGCTCTTTGTGATGCAGTGGGTGGCGCTTGTTTCTGTTCGGAGGTAGGAGTAAAAATGTCAGTCCCCTTTTTTTGACGCTCGTTTCTACAGCTTGATTTTTTTTATCTCAAGTCTTGGGTTTTTATCTTAAGTGATGTACAGTACCGCCTCTTCGAAATCATACTTTGCGGCGGGCAATTGAGAATCAGGTTAGCATTTTATTTTGGTCAGCACTACACATTCAATGAAGACCTCGGACGGCGATGTAAATATGTGTTGCCCCCCAAAGTGTGTCCAAGGTGCGCAGTGACAATTGGAAATGGTATTCGCAACTCCAACGCCCTATAGGTGGCGGGGCGGTAGTTCCAAGATGGCGGAAGAGACGGGGATAGATTCTCCAGGATATCCCGCACGCCTGCTCGCGCTGACGCTGTTCAGCGCGCTAAAAATTATTTATTGGTCTACAAATGCGAAGCAGTTATGAAGCGATCATATTACAGGTGACGTAGATGCTGATGCACGTTAGCAAAACGGGCATGCTGTTATTTAAAAGTTGCAGAAACCTCAAATTGCGAAGCTTTGGGGTGGGCGAGCGCGTTTTAGGCACCGGCCAGGTTACTGTTTGTGGCAGAATATTTTTGAAGGCGATGAAGATATGTTTGCGGCTTTGCCTGGCCATTAGTTCTCTAATAAAAGAGCCGAGAACGCTTACCGTCAAGCTTCGGAAGAGCAGCGTACAAAGTATTGGTGTCATCGCGTCACAGGCTCACAACTCGCTGCTCGCCGTCTCGGTGTTAGTGTATTGCAACACGTCATCAAACTGCTCTATAGTTATTGATAGAAAGTTTTTTACCGCAGGCTACCGTGCGGTGTAGCATTACAACCGCAAGCTCGCGCTGCGCCTCTGAAGCTCAATTTTGAGTGCACGCCAGGAGCGTTTCCGTGCTTATCATTCTAAAAAAAAAAAAAAATGTTGTAGTCCTTACACCCCTACTCTAAAACTTCAGTTCGCCGTGCAGCCCATCGACGTCAAACTGACGGCCCCAACTTTTACGAGAGGCTTGATGACGGTGCATTATAAGATATTAAAAAGCTAAAGTACTTATCAAAGAGTACCAAAAAAAAAAAACACGAGGTTTTGCAGTAGGGCCAAGAAAACCCCGATTATTATTATTTTTTTACAGTCATTCACACTTACTTGGGTTATTTTAAAAAGTTGCACAACTCGGCTAACAAGTCGCTCGTGAAAGTTGGTAGCACTGGTTGAACGTCAGTGCACTGTACGTCCAAACGAAGTTTAGGGGTGTCGTACGCTCTGCAAAAACTGCCTATTAACATAACCAGCGTGTTCAGGGGTTTCATTTATCGCTTTATCAAAAATAAATATTTTAATGTACCATACATTTTTTGCACCGCGTTATTTGCAACATTGCGGTCCCTCTGGCCAAAACTGTGCGTTCTAAGCTCTCGTCACAAACGGCTGCCTAACACAGAACCGCTTAAAATGCTTCTAGCCTTTCTTTATTTGCTTTGTAATCACCTGAAAGCAAGTACGGGTATTCTGTCTTTTTGAATTGCTTGGGATAAATGGTCATGTTCCTTGTAACGGCCTTAAAACGCGAACCCATTCTTGATTTGTATTGCTCGACATACCGTTGCGCGAAGAGTTTTCTCCTACTTATGGCAAAGAATAGACTTTCCGTAGACCGTACTATAGAGTTCATTATTAGTGGGAGCGTTTTTCGTCACGTTGAGTACAGATTGAGCTGGCGGCCATGCACAAGACCAGAAATCCGCAGCGTATGCGATACACGAAAAGTCCCTAATAAAATTAGACATCCCGGTCCTTCATGCAAGGCTGTTGCAAGGCGGAGCACAAGAATTCCTTTTTTAACGCGTTCCCTTTTTTCGTTAAAACGGCTTCACGCATCAAGGCCGACAGTCCCTGCCACCGTTTCCGCGCCACCGCCGCCGTCCCCGCTCCTCTGGTTC